AATTGCCTGAGTCATATTTTTAAATTTCTGTCAGTTCTCTTTTGTTCTTTATGTGCTACTTTTTCTAGCATTCTGGTTTTATTATGAATACAGTATATCTTTATTGACTGTAGAGTATTAACCATCATTTTTTTTTCTTGCACTCCCTCTACTTTTCTAACCATTCCTTTTGTTGCTGTTTTTTTCCCCCCAGTCTTTTCATGTGAGAGGCTTTTCTCAAATATGTTCACATACTTGCTGTGTTTTGATATTTAAGATTGACTCACTCAAAAGCCAACTGGCGGTTCTGTATACTTGAGAAGGGCTTGTCATCTGCCGACTGATCAAGTGACTCACCTATTTCACATGGAATCGTTAACTGTCAGCATAGGTTGTCTTGGTTTCCTTGGTCTGTTTTCCTCAGGGAAAAATTCTTCTGCTTGGAGGCTTATAAGATTAGCAGCTAGTATCCTGGGAGCCAGGCTGAGAAAAGAGTCTAGAGGATCTTTCAATTCTGCATGTGGACTTCTGCTTAGTATCTTTGTCAGTTAGGTGACTCACTTCTGCTCCCAGCCATGCCTAGCATTTTGCTAATTCTTCAGCTAGTTAACAACTCTTCTGTTGGAATGGGGTGAATTAATTCCCTGGTCACGGTCACCCTCCAGAAACCAGGAAGAGTGGAAAAGATAAAAATCAAAGTTCGTATACTTTGTACAAGACTTTTGATGGCACTTAGGACAGTTATTTATGGGTTTATATACTAGACTGTATGTCCCTGGAATGTAAGCATTTAAGCCTTTAACCAGTGTCTTAGACCAGTTTCTCCCAGAAATAAACCCCAAGGTAAAAGATTTAAGTGCTTTGATTTATTAAGAGGGTGCTCCCAGGAGAAATCAGTAAATGAATAGAAAAAGCAGAGCTGGCAAGAAGAAGAAATGAAGGAAGAGTAGACATCAGCTGGAGCCACAGCATTAGCCTAATTCCATGGTAATCTCTGCATCATAACATTATACCTTAGCATTTATCTCACCTCCAAACAAAGAAGCTGGGCTTTTGTACCTCCACAAGTTTTGTGGAGGTACAAAACTTGACTTGGCTTACTTTCCTTAGCCAAGTCAGTCGTTGGCTAAGGAATGTGATGATGGGGTGGTGTGGGTATGGGGGGGATTAAAAAAAAAACAAAAACTCCCATATGCTTCTAGCTCTCAATACCGGCAAGGTGCCTTTGACTTCATTGCCCAAAAGGAATACTCTGGAGGTCTTGAGTGTGAGTCATTACCAGCAAAGCATGTGGAAACTGGAAGATGGGTCTCTGAGTTGATAAAGTGGGTCCCAGGAGAACTGAACAGGCACCAGTTGTGTCCACTAAACCCTAATATCTTCCCCTAACAATTACCAGATAAGGGAATGGCAATCCCTCATGAACACCTTGCAGTTTAAAGAGGTTTTCTTTTTTTCATCTCTTATTGCAATTGCTCTTTAGAATGATTTTATAAGGAGAGAAGAACAGCATTATTATCTCTGTCTTTCAAGAGTCAGACAAGGCAGAAATTCGGGGACTTTTCTAACATCTTCAGATTCTAAATCTAGAGCTTGTTCTAACATGCTACCTCATATCTAAGAGTTTTATAAATATTTTAGATAGGCATAAGAAATGCATATAAATATGAATTATTTAATCTATGTATCATGATTTTTATAATTAAAAAAATACAGGAAATATAAGGAATAAACTTTTTTTTTCAGTTTTAGCATGATTGTCTTATAGGTTTTCTAACATTACATAAGAAAAAGTTGGGTTAAGTAGAGTGCCCCATATTAAGATATATTTTAATACGTACCATCACTCAAGGCTTCTCCCAGTGTTGCATTACTCAAAGGATTTCATTAAAGCTAGGGTGAAAGAAACATGTTAAAAGGTTCCTGGTGCACAGCTAGAGGTTGATTCATTTTGAATATACTTGGAGTTCTTCCATACTTTTCCCCTATGGCCTTATTTGCATATAATACTTTTGACTCATGCCATTCCTGCTGAAGTATGAATATTCCTTCAGAAATATTGCCAGTAAAACTTACAGTCTATTACTGACACACCAGACCTTTCCTTCTTCTAGTTCAATAATTACTTCCCCATACAGGATCCACCTTTGCTCCTCTGCTCCTGCTACTACTAGACCATCCCCTAATCACAGTGATATGATAAATTCAGAGAAGTTGAGAACAGTTTACCCCAGGGATGTATTCAGAACTAAATAGTTTCTATTATGTTAAATCCTCCTCAGCTACTTGAACTCTTCTTCCTTTCTGGATGATCTGAAATGGTGCTTTTCAAACCTGGTGGCACATTAATATCACTTAGGGAGCTTTAAAATATATAGATGGCCTGATTCTGACCCAGGCTAGTCAAATCAGACTTGCAGGCATTGGTAATAAGATTATAGCTTTCAATATGATTATTTCTCTCTCTCTCTCTCTCTTTTTTTTTAAATTGAGACAGGGCCTCACTGTGTCGCTTAGGCTGGCCTCAAACTCCTGCACCCAGGCAGATCTCTTGCCTCAAACTCTTGAGTAGCTGAAACTACAGATTGCTTATTAAAGCACCATATCCTAACCACTGCACCTGGCTGAAGCGCCCCCTATGATTCTGTCATTCAATCAAGTTTGAAAACACTCATCCAAAACTGGAGAAATGTGACAGCTCCATTGGTGTCAGGAATAGATTTGGCTGTCTCCCGATCTTGGTAGCAGGATTTCGTTTCTTTTTCAGCTTAAAATTTCTCATTCACTTTGGTCTTTTATGTATGCCTGGTCAACCAACAATTTCAGGTCACAGTGGGGCAAACTGAAAGCCTGTTGATATCTTATCTAGGGCCTGTTAACAATTTGATATAGTTGAAGCATATTAGAAAAAGGAACTGTTGGCCGGGCGTGGTGGCCCACACCAGTAATCCCAGCACTTTGGGAGGCTGAGGCGGGCGGATCATGAGGTCAGGAGATCAAGACCATCCTGGCCAACATGGTGAAACTCTGTCTTTACTAAAAATACAAAAATTACATGGGCGTGGTGGCACGTTCCTGTAATCCCAGCTACTCTAGAGGCTAAGGAAGGAGAATTGCTTGAACCAAGGGGTCGAAAGCTGCAGTGAGCCGAGGTTGCAGCAGTGCACTCCAGCCTGGCAACAGAGCGAGACTCCATCTAAAAAAGAAAAAGAAGAAAAAGGAACTGTTGTACCTTACAGAATCTGAAAAGTGAAACTCCTCTTTGCCTCAGTGCAACTGAGCTTTACTCTCTATCCTCCATTAGTTCTTCGGAAAGGGAACACCAGTTATTGCCTGTATTTTCAACTCACGTTTGTACCTACCTTCCACTATCCGCATGGCCTGTTAACTGTTTCTAACTCTGTTCTTTAGACTTTGGTACAAGGAATCACTTGCAGTGCTTCTAGAAATATAATTCACTTGCCCTACCTCTAACGATTATGATTTATTTGACCAAGGAACATATATTTTTACATTTTAACCAACTCTCTAGGTAATTCTCATGCCAGTTGTGCAGCAAGCCCATTTTGAAAATCAAAACTCTAATTTCCTTAGTGGTTATTTTTTTTCAAGAATGAAGGAAGGAATAAGAGATAAAATGACGTTACTCTATTTTCCCTTCTATTCTGTAAGTTAATACATGAAAAAGATTCCACTTATGGAATCTTTAATGTAGAGTTTACAAACACATATTCTCCTATGTCTATACATAGGAGAAGTGATTAATTTGTGAATCTCTTTGGTCATAATTGGTGGTATGTCACAAGAACAAAGAAAAAGTCTTTGGAAAATTACATATACTTCATGAATTTAATGTTTGTTTTCCCTGTATATAGACATTTTTCTAGAATAAAACCTCTATATTTCAATTCTAATTGATATTGAACATTTAGTAATGCTAGATTTCTGTTTAGGAGGTATTATATCTCTCCAAGGTAGAGATTTTATTACAGTGTGATAATTATTATGAAACTTTTTTCTTTTTATGGATCGGTCAGGTTTTAACTAAACACACTTACTGTATTATTCTGTTCTCATACTGCTAATAAAGACATACCCGAGACTGGGAAATTTATAGAGGAAAGAGGTTTAATTGACTCACAGTTCCACAGGGCTGGGGAGACCTCAGCAAACTTACAATCACGGCAGAAGACGAACGAAGAGCAAAATCATGTCTTACATGGCAGCAGGCAAGAGAGCTTGTGTAAGGGAATACCTCTTTATAAAACCATCAGGTCTCATGGGACTTACTATCATGAGACCAGCATGGGAAAGACCCACCCTTGTGACTCAATTACCTCCCACCAATTTCCTCTCATAACACATGGGAATTACAGGAGCTACAATTCAAGTTGAGATTTGGGCGAGGACACAGCCAAACCATATCACTTACTGACTACTTGCAGGTTTATTTAAAACAGTAAAATTGTAGGTCATGTATGTTTTATTTCTTTAGTCTAACTATAGCTTTACTTAGTTGTATATATTGACTATTAAAAGAAGCTTGTATTTTAAATTCTACATGTTAGATGAGTCTCATAAGTGGAAAACAAAGAAAAATGTTTACTTGAAATTATAAACTTTGAAATTTACTATTGATGTTAAATATAGTAACAAAATACAATTATATGCTTTGAATGAAAAATAATTTTTAATTACTAATAAGTTTACTAAATTTTAACGGTTGAGATCAACGTTATTCCCTTGGGCCTAATAAAATAACTTCAGTTTTCTTTCCAGTAAAAATCTGCAAGTAAAATATTTAGAAAACAAGTATGTTTTTAAAAATAAACTTTGATTACAGTAAGTATAAATGATAAAGTTTATTTATATTTTGATATAATATAAAATAATATTTGTATTTAATTAAAATGTGAGTTTACATTACTATTAAACCATTCTATTATGCAATCTTATAGTTCAACATGATGCAATGATATATGATGTAGGAAAGCCTGTGTCTCACAAATGACCATTTTCAGTTTCTTGGCAGTACAGAAGTGGAACAGCCAAAAGGAACAGAAGTTGTGAGAGATGCTGTAAGGAAATTAAAGGTAGGGAAAACCCTTCAAATAATTTACAAGTACATTGATTCTGTCACGTTTTCAGCAGATTGAAGGAGATCAAAGCATGATTGTTGCAGGTATAGCTTCACCCTATTAAAAATGAACTATTGAAGAAATGTAATCATATCAAGGAAACATTTTTAATAGTAAATATATACACAAAATTGTTTTTAAAATATGGCATACTGTTCATATTTTTCTAAAAATAATATTTTATGGCAGTGTGTCTTGAATGTTTGTTTTATAGCTTGCCTTTACTTTGCTTGGATAATGTGAACTTATGTCCCAATTCAAAAGCTAGTAATAGCAAAACAACTGTATTTAAAGGCTAAGATATAATATCCACCAGTTAAAAATGTGGAGTTAGAGTTGATTTCAACCAGAATTTTGTAGTGACACTGTTAAATATGTCCTAATCTACAAGTCCAACAGGATCTGGCAATGTCCATAAATAGCCATGGGGAAACTGGTGAAACTAAGAGAGGAGAGAAAGACATTTAATAAGCAACCCCACATATCCTAGTCAACAAGTTTCCTGAGAAAATCTTATATAAGATGCCACACACCGTGTTTCTCTAATTGTTCCACATCTCGAAGGACATTGTTTCACTGAGATTTTAAAATTAAAAAAACTCCTCAACAGAATTCTCAGCTTTATCATATAAGAAAATATATATAGTGCTACTTTTTTTTACACAATTAATGTTATTCTCTATAGTCGCTCTCACATTTTAGGAGAAATAACCCTTCTCTAACTTTATTTGGTTTAGGGACCATCCAGTTATTCTAAAGGAGGGTTAGACCTCTGAGTGTGCCAGGCAAACTCAGAGACATTAAATGGTATTACTTTGCTTTGAGAATGTCATATCTGGTGGAATCTACTCTGTGTTTAAAATGAGAAGTAATTGAATTGGCATGGCTTCTATTCTAGGTAAAGAAATAAAGGTCAATAATATTTTATCCATTTTATTTTATATGAAAATATTTTACTAATCCTTTTAAGTAAATATACTGAAAACTCCCAAGATAATATCGCTCCCATTTGGGAAAAAAGTGGATTAACCAACTATTTATTTCCACTGTTCATTAGGTAATAATTTAGATTTGCCTTTTATTGGCCAATAGTTTTAATCAATCCAAAAGAAGATTTAAAAGGGCTCACAGTTTATGGACAACATTAGAATAGGATTCTATTTAAATGCTTTCAAAAAGTTGCAAATTCTGGGCATGAATCCAACTTCAATCAGAATATTTTATGAAAGAACAATGCTATTTACACGTAGTATTTCTTTATGCCTTGTAGGTTGTTCAGTCAACCCAAATCGAAAACCAAAAAAATTCAATTGAATAATGAATAGATCAAATGTAAAGACATATTTGAAATCAAATGCTTTCTAAACAATGGCTAGTTTACATATATTTTTGAAGGATTGTATATGTATTTCTGTGGAGTTGCATGTTTAGAAATGTACTCTGTTAATAAAAGAATGTGACCTACAATAAGGTAAAAAAAATTATGTAGTATAGTTTAAAAATGCACACTTAGTTTATAGAAGCTGTTGTTTCTCAAATATCTTCCAAAATAAGTTTGTATTTAATAAGCAATTTTACTGTGCTGATTGCAAACATTTTGTATATCAGGAAAGTATATCTAAGGGTAATGATTCATACACGAATGATAATGAATAAAACAATACTTTTTATTTATTTATTTATTTTTTGCTTTTTTGTGTGTGTCAAGGGTCAGAAGCTACAATTCAAAGTATACTAAGAATATTTTTTAAATGTCAAACCCGGCTCTACTGGTTCGAAATGGCCAGTAGGTGGTGGTGTGGCTCTACTAAAAAAAAGAAAAAAAGAAACTTGCTCTTTTATCATACGTACACATCTCCATTTTAATTTCCTATTTGTTTTTCTGTAACATATGAATTCTGACTGCTTTAAAAAAATTTATATAATTCAGTATGTGATTTTATAATTTATTTTATTTTATATTACTTACTTTACTTTATACTATTTATTTTATATTACCATGTAAGGTAACATTTTATTTATATTTACTCCTTTTTCAGCAATATTAATGTAATGGCTTCTGACTTTAAACAAGAATTTAAAATTTAAGAATAAAATCTGATGGAGAAATTAAAGAATTATCAATATGAATTTTTCGTGTTTCTGTGTTTAATGATGCCTGCTTAGTTTTCAAAAAATTTTAAAACTTTGACTTTTTTATACTGTCATTTTTTAGAGAATTTATAGTTTATAAATTTTTCTTTTATAAATATAATTATTTTTGTAAGTATTAACCTTTTAAAGTTCAGATACCATATCAAAATATGTTCTTTATTTCCTAATCATGTTCAACAGTTTCTATTTCTTGATCATGTTTTAGCCGGGCTTGGTGGCACATGCCTGTAATCCTGGCTACTTGGGAGGCTGAGGCAGGAGAATCACTCGAACCCGGCAGGCGGAGGTTGCAGTGAGCTGCGATCGCGCCATTGCACTCCAGCCTGGGCAACAAGAGGGAAACTTCGTCTCAAAAAAGAAACAAACAAAAAAAATAAACAAAAACAACAACAACAAATAAAACAAATTTTCTGAAATGTAGTAATTTTAAACCCTTTCGACTTCTATGTATTGAATGGCACTGTTTATTGGAACAAATTTTATTTTTAATAGTGATTTATATATTTTTATTAATACAACTAGTACAGATGTTGGGGGCTCAATGTATTTCATAAACAATTTGTGATTTTTACATGTAAGTAAGTATTGATATATAGATTCAAAGCTTATCAATTTCCCTGGGAGATACCCAGTGGGCAGCATTCCTGGAATCCAGTTTTAGAGTGAAAATCCCCTCACTCTGCTACAACTAAATTAAAGTTACATGAAATTACTGCAAGAAAATGTAGCCCTTGGGAATTGCTGTCAAGCCTCGTGAAGTCTCAACCTAGTAGATTTTCCATTTGAACTCACTCTTTCTGTGTTGTATAACACTATTTTGTCTTCACAATCAGTTATGTAATTAATAAAACATTTAGAGCTTAATTTAATTATATATAAACATAGCTCATTTCCTGTAGGGTTATTAGAAATACTTTAAATTAAAAATATAAATATGAGAACCCCAAAGAAAAATAGTAGCTTCAAATAATAGGCCCAAATTAGTAAATTAATTTTATTGCCTAATACTCTATATTCCATTAGTAGTTTACTTAATTTCACTTTTTAAAAAGTCCTCCGAGAAATGGATAGAAATTATGTAATGATAATATTGAAACTCAGTTGTGCTCCCTTTAAATTTTATTTAATAGTTCTATTTATCAGTAGTATATATTTAACCAAATACTTTATTTCAAGTACTACTCCATCCTTCCCCATCACGTTATGATGACAAAGTCTTGGTTATATTCATTTGTTGTATCCAGTCATTCTCCAAAATGCTTATGCATCACTTCCTTTGATTAATTTTTATTGGATTATTATATTCAAGTTTTAATGGCAGATAGCTGTATCCATCTAGATCTACCAAGAAATAAATCCACTGAAGCAAAAATTGAAAGAAATTTACAAAAAAGACTGTTCAAGCTTTGACATTAAAATAGTAACTAGGGAAAAAATAGAATATAATGTTATGTAGATTGATCAGCATATCTTCCTAAGGTTAATTAGAAATATTAGGAAGGCAAGAAATCTGTAAGTAGCAAAAGGGACTTAGAGGGGAGCATGCAAACTATAGAATACAGTTAGTTTAAGTTTTAGAAAAAAAGAGAGGCAGGAAGGAGAATATTAAACTGAAAAAAATATAGAGTGAATGAGTATAACTTTAGGCATGAGAGTTGTGTAACATAGTTTCAAAAATCAAGGCCAATAACCAGTGTAAACATTGATAAGAATGAAGGTAGAACTGGGAATTTTCTTTTCTAAATGCAGAATATATGTTGTATAAAAGAAAAAGATTATTTAGTGGATATCTGCAAAACTAGTTACTAGGCCTAATTCCTACAAACCCATTTTATGACCATGGTACATAGCTTATCTGGGACTTACTATCCTTATCTTTGAAATAAGAAGATTAGATTGCATGAATCTGAAGCTGTTTTGAGCACAGTTAATTCATCCTGTTATGAAGAAGAGAGAAAAGTTTCAGAAAACCTAGTTTAGAAATGGGCTTCTTTTTCTTTTTCTTTATTTCATTCTCTCCTTCTTCCCTCTCTTCCTTTCTTCCTCCCCACTCCCTTCTTACCTCTCCACTTTGTTTTTCTACCTCAGCCCCTACTTCCTTCCCTTCTCTAGTTCTTCCATTCTTTCTTTCCTTCTCAATAGTTAAGTTTAATAATAGTGGTTGCTTTGTGGTAGATGTTTCAGTGGGAAAAAATTTTAAAGATTGCACAGTTCTTGTTAGAGGTCACAGGAATGGTTGAGTCTGGATGTGGAAGGGGCTTCAGAAGCCATGCTCTGTCTGTTTCTGGAAAACAACAGAACTTAGGAAACAAGCTAAGGATGCTTCTGCAGCTGATAGTGAGAGTTGCTTTATCCAGATGCATTCACATAGGTGGAGAGCTGATGACTTATTTTGTAAGCCTTCCTATGTGAAAACCTTCAAATTGCTTAATTATGCTGATATAAGGAGATTATGAAGTGAAAATAAACAAAATTAATCCACATTCTTTGGGAGATAGCTGGGATAATTTTTAAAGATCTACACTCAAGCAAAATAAATTTATACAAGACAAAAAAGAAAAGTATCTGGCACAAGTTAGTTGTATCATGTGCAGCAGTAAGACTGCTGAATACAAAAAATAGCAACCTAAGTTCATAGAGCAAGATAGACAGCAAGGGGAAAAATTATACCACTCAAAATGGAATAAAACAAATGGTACCCCCTGGGATAGGAAGGCAGACACTTAAAGGCATTCATATATGCGTTAATTGTATTATTCTCTGTGGCAGTGCAAAGCCATGAAAAGAGAGAAAGACTTTTAATCACTCTGTGCTCCAGAATGGGGCTATGCCATGTGTATTCACATCTGCCCTAAATTACAGTGAAATACACAGTGCAAGTAACTATGACATACAAGAGGACTGGAACGCTATCTTGCATTACATGTCATCAATTTTGAGTCAAATTAGGATGATCTATATCCTTAGAGAGAAAAAGGTACACTAGGAAATAACTTCTTGAAGCACTAGAAGAGGGGTGAGAAATTATTTCTTCTAATAGTTTTCTTTCCATTTCTTAAAAAGAAAAAGTTGGATGTGGGGGTGATTGCAGAGGAGAGAAGGAATGTAGGGAGAGAGTTAAATTGTCAATTAAAATCAAGACGCCTAGTAAACTTTGAATTTCAGACAAATATTTTTTAGTACAAATATGTTCCAAATGTTGCATGGGCTATGTGTATACTAAATAGCATATATATATATGTGTGTGTGTGTTGTGTTTGTGTCTATATTTTAAAATTAAAGTTTTTAAAAAGAATATTAATTGTTTAATATTCAAGTTTAGCTGGGCTCCTGAAATTCTCCCCCACTAAATTAAGCAATGCTAGGAGAGAGGCAGAGACTCCATCTGCTAAGCACATGAGTATTCTGATTTTCTTTTTGATTTTATAACAGAATCGAACAAGCATTTACATACACCTAGTAACTCAGTGAGAAAATATAATAAATACTACTACAAAAGTATTGAAAAAAATTTGTGCTTTCAAGATACTCACTATATGTGTAGTTCTAGACTGAGTCTAGTTCTATACCTGAGTCTTTCAGCTGGGATAATTACTTCAATTCTTAGCTTCAGTTTGGACATGGTAATCTGCTTCTTTTTATGTATTGATGTGGTTGGATAGAATAGTGTTCCAAACTAGGTAAATATCTAGAAATGGCAAAGAGGGCATATTCAACAGCTGATGAACTGCTAATTCTGTGAAGATAATAACAACAAAAGATTCACAGAAAAACAAACTGATCTCTACACATCTTCCCACAAAGTATTTTGAGTTTCCTCAGCTGTCTGGTATGAATATGTTTTTGTAAATACCATGAAAGAAGTGAATTAAAAATCTTAATTTAAAAAAATTGCTGAAAATCAATGTGAATTATAATGGCTGATTGCTATGATTTTTAAATATTTTGAGACTATCTTTATAAAATGCTTTATGCTTGGCAAAAATTCACTTAATTAAAGTCTGAAATTGAATATGAACTCCAAATATATGTTTATTTTTGTTCATTCTTTATAGAAATAGAATTGCAGTTTTGTGAGTAATTTTTCATTTGTAGTTTGCAAGACATATCAAGAAATCTGAAGGCCAGAAAATTCCTAAAGTGGAGTTGCAAATATCAATTTATGGAGTAAAAATTCTAGAACCCAAAACAAAGGTAAGGCTTATTTTTTAATGTTAGAGGTAATCTTTAATTAATTGCAATTATATTCTTACTTTAACAAATATTTAATAATTTTTGCCACCCTGAACTGTTTAGTTCTGAGCTAATGGCAGTTCGAAACTCTAGGATTTTTAGAAGTGAAAACAACTTTTGGAATTGCATTATAAGTGATCTTTTCTTCAGCTTGTTTGGGATATAATATTAATAACTTATGTTAAGCGTATTCAGCAGTGTTTGGACTTGTATTTAGGAATTGTTTTTCATGAAATGTGAAAGAGATGCATACAGTGTGGTTCACTGAGTATGAAAGAAGATAAAAGCTGTGTGTTGCTTATTAAAATATTCTGCATTGACTTTTATTTCCTGTAGATGTAATCAGTGTGTATTAGTTTTCTAGGAAGGCCATAGCAAAACACCACAACTGGGTGACTTAAACAACAGAAAATATTTTCTCACAGTTGTGGAGGCTGGAGTTCCAAGATCAAGATGCCAGCAGAGTTGATTTCCTCTGTAGCCATTCTCCTTGGCTTGCAGAGGGCTGCCCTGTTGCTGCCTCTTCACATGGTCATCCACCTGTGCACACACTTGTCTGGTGTCTCTTCTTATAAGGACACTCATCAAATTGGATTAGGAACCATACTCATGGCCTCATTTTAACTTAATTACCTTTTTAAAGGCCTTATCTCCTGTTCAAAGAAAAACTAGACAAATTAAATTTAGCAGAGTTTATTTGAACAGATAATGATTCATGCAGCAGGCAGCACTTGAAACCAGAAGATGTTCAGAAAGCTTTGCCCAGCAGCATGAACATGGAGCTTTTTATAGGCTGAACACAGAATCAAAGTGACAACTCACCTGATTGGCTACAGCAAGGCATCTACTTTATATGGACATGTTGTGATGAGCTGGCTGCCTGTAATTGGCTGAAACTTAGCTGTGTGTTCTACTTCCAAATTAGTGTTCAGTTTATTTACGTACTAGTTAGGTTGCAGTTTGTTGTCTAGGAACTCAAAAAACAGAGACAACCCCAGGTGAATGGCCTCATGCTTATTTAATTTAGCACTCTAACTACAGTCTCATTCTGAGGTGCTGGGGATTAGAGCTTCAACATGTGAATTCTGGGGAACACAATTCAGCCCATAACACACTGTAAACTTAAGTTTCTTGTATTTAAGGGCCTCTGACCCTTCAAAGCAAATTAAATATTTTAAAATATAATCTGTTCTGGATTCGAATTCATTAACAGGTACTTGTGTTGGACTAAAGTGTTTCCTTCCAGAATTCTTACGTTGATGCCCTAACCCCTAATATGGCTATATTTGAAGATAAGGCCTTCAAAGAGGTAACTCAGGTTAAATGAGACTTTAAGGGTGGGGCCCTCATCCAACATGTCTAGTATCCTTACAAGAAGAGGAAGAGACCCCAGGGATATGTATACTCGGAGTAAGGCCCACATGAAGGCACAGAGTGAAGGCAGCAATCTTCAAGCCAAAGAGAGAGGCCCCAGAGAAACCAAACCTACCGACACCTAGATCTTGGACTTGTAACCTGCAGAACTAGGAAAAAATAAATTCCTGTTGGATAAGACACCCAGTCAGTGGTATTTTGTTATGGCAGGCTTAGTAAACAAATACAGTACTTTATTCACAATGCCTCAGAGTTATCATTTAGTAATTTTCATAAGACTATGTTAGTCAATTTGGAAAAATTAATATTTAACTCCAATTATTTTATAAATACATATTGTTAAAGCATTCTTCTAACACCGTAAGATACATATTGACAAATTAATTCAATATAATAGCCAAAAGAGGAACTTCTGGCCTGTTGACAGATTATAAAAATGTTTCCCACAGGTCTGCAACTTTTCTCTAGTCCAGTAAGTATCTTTGATACCTTCATCTATGTAAATTCCAGTTCCCAGCAACAGCTGGATATTTAAAGTGTGGCCTGTGGACCGCCAGCAATCACATCTATTGGGTGCTTGTTAGAAATGTTGAATCTCAGGCTCTGCTACAGACCTACAGAATCTGTATTTGCAGTTAAAGAAGAAACATAGTGATTCATATGCACATTAAAGTTGGAGGGGATCTGCTGTTGTGCATAGTTTAGTGGCTAAATGCAGTAGGCCTCATTTTCAAATTGTAGCTTATGGAATATCTACAAAAAAATTACCGGAGGCATTTCCAAATGTAATTTCTAAGGCTCCAAATTTGCCTCCAGAATCAGAACCTCTGACTGTGGAAATCTGTAGTAAAGCTCAATGGCATACCTTCAACTTTCCATATTAAAGAACAATGGCATTCTGTCAAACTTCCCAAGACATGAATTCAAGTCCTCTCACAAGTATCTGGTCTAATCTTCTCTATTATTCACCCTCAATATTCAATTACAAACAAAGATGTGAAGATTTACTTTAGTTATGGGGATCCTAAAATAACTGCTGGTAAGGTGGCTGAAATAAAAAAAGTGAAATGGTGAAAAATAGTAGAAGGTTGATTCAAGCATTTGGGATATCTGTAGTTTGCTGGGAAACAAGGCAATTGAAAGCAAGGTATGAATGAGATAAATTCATTAGGCAATTAGCAGTTACATAAAGAACAATAGACCAAGGAAGCAATAAGTTACAAAAGGATGATTCAATCAAAAGTGTAGCAATGAAGTGTCGTCTTACATGTCATGAAAAAGAAAATCCTATTCCTACGTCTTCTTTTCACAATTAAAAGGGTATATAGTGGCAAATGTCCAGTCAGAATAGGGTATTTGTAGGCCATGCTTATGTTGAAAGATTTTTTCTAAATCATATGAATTAGATAGCTGTTTCAGAGTGTGTGTATATGTTTGTGTGTGTATGTGTAATTAATATTATTTTCAATTTCTTATCTGAAGGTTTGGGGCTTGTCACAGCACACATTAAAATATATAAAGCTGATAATATACATTATGTATTGTTTTCGTATGTTCCTGTTATTTTGTATTTGAATCTACCTATGGTGCATTCTAAACTGTAATAATTTCACCACATTCATATACCATAATTTACCAAAGTATTCTTCTATTATTGAACATATGGCATGTTTCAAATTTTTTGTTAGTTGATAATCACGTTTAAATATTTATAAAATACAAACACGATTAAATGCAGTTATGTAGAGAAAACTTTTTTTGGGTTTTAGAATTCACAGGTTAATAATGGCATGTCCTTAGAAATGCATAAAATGCTAATTGCTTAAAGCACTACAAGATGGTTACCACTAACTACCACTACAAGGTGGCAACCACTAACTACCACTACAAGATGGCTACCACTTATGTTTATAGGGTATGTGTGTGTGTAAAGAGAGACAAAATTGGATCAGGTAATGCAAATGCAAATGTAATGCAAATGTGGCACAATGTTACCAGTTGGCTAGGTGAAGAGTATATGGGTATGTATTGCAACTTTTTCTATTATTTCCTGCATGATTTCATCTGACCTTTTAAATGAGACTATTTCTTCCAATGAAAGATATGTGAACTGGCTGGGTGCAGTGGCTTATGCCTGTAATCCCAGCACTTTGGGAGGCCGAGACAGGGGAATCACAAGGTCAGGAGTTTGAGACCAGCCTGGTCAACACAGCGAAACCCCGTCTCTACTAAAAGTTAAAAAAAAAAAAAAAAAACATGGGTGTGGTGGCAGGTACCTGTAATCCCAGCTACTCAGGGGGCCGAGGCAGGAGAATCGCTTGAACCCAGGAGGTGGAGGTTGCAGTGAGCTGAGATAGCACCACTGCACTCCAGCACAGGCGACAGTGTAAGACTCCATCTCAAATAAAAAGAAAGAAAGAAAGAAAGAAAGATATGTGAAAAGCTCTGTTAAAAACTTAATCAACAAGTTAGGCTATCATATCTGTTTGGATTTTCTTCCTTGACTTCCTGACCACTTGAAGAAACCTACCTTTATGAAACCCAATTGACCAATAACTTACGATTTATTAGGTTATTCCTTATACCTGATCTCCTGATCATTGATTATTTACCTGGAATAAGGATAATTTTTTTCATTAACTTTAAATATTTGTAAATATAAAGACAGAAATACCAAACTTTAAAAAAAATAGCATATGATACTGTAGAGTGAGGAAAAAACTAAAGTGAATAGGGTCCAAAATTAAGCTGGGCTTAGAAAAAGTCTGTCGTACAGCAATAGTACAGAATAGAGAACCCAAAATTAAAGCTGCACACCTATAGCCATCTGATTTTCGACAAAGTCAACAAAAATAACAAATGGGGAGATTATTATTCAATAATTGGTGCTGGGATAGCTGGCTAGCCATATGGAGGAGATTGAAACTGGACCCTTATCTTTCACTGTATACAAGAATTAACTCAAGATGGATCAAATATTTAAATATAAGACCTTAAAGTATGCGAATCCTGGAAGAAAACCTAGGAAACTCCATTCCAGTCATTGCCCTTTGGAAAGAATTGATGACTCAAAAGCAATTGCAACAAAAACAAAAGTTGACAAATGGGACTTCATTAAATTGAAGAGCCTCTGCACAGCAAAAGAAACTATCAACAGAGTAAACAGACACCTACAGAATGGGATAAAGTATTGCAAACTATGCATTTAACAAACATCTAATATCCAGAATCTATAAGGAACTTAAACAACTGAACAAGCAAAAAATAATAACCCTATTAAAAAGTGGGAAAAAGAAACAGGAACAGACACTTCTCAAAACAAGACAAACAGGTGGCCATCAAACATGAAAAAAATGTTCCACATCACTAATGAAAGAAATTAAATTCAAAACCGCAATGAGATACAATCACCACCATGCAGAATAACTGTCATTAAAAAGTTAAAAAATAACAGATGCTGGTGAGGTTGTGAAGAAAAGGGAATGCTTATACACTGTTGGTGGAAATGTAAATTAGTTCAGCTGCTGTGGAGAGCAGTTGGAGATTTCTCAAATAACTTAAAATAGTTAACCATTTTCCAGCAACCC